GTACTGTCTCTGGGTCACAGTGCTGAATTCGCCTCCTGGATACTATTTGGCCCTGTTGATGTCTGTAGCCACTGGGACAGTTTGTCTCGTCCCGTGCCAGAACTGCTCTCTTTCTCCCCCATGTTTATTACTTTGTCATCCCTGACTATGAGTCCCAGAGGTCCAGACTAGCTGTAGTCCTGCCGAGGAACAATAAATCATTGCTCCCACTTCCTCCCCTCAGGGTTCCTGCTCCTTAATTACCACTTGGACACTGTTGAGGCTGCATCTTTGTGCCATGTGTGCTGGAGACAAAAGTCCTGGATGACTGGATGTGTACAAAAGCTGCTTGGTCTCTCTTTCACTGTTACGTGTTCTGCTGAGTGCTACGAGTGCTACCCAGCCCTTTCTCTGGCCTCCTGTGAATTATGGAGCCTGATTCTTAGGTGTTTGTCCATTCACAGAGCACTGAGATAGCTCAGCAAGGTACACTTCATTAAAGAAGGGCACTCGGGCTGAGGTTAATCATTCTATGTGGAGTCTTAGCTGGCCCCTTCGTGGGTTCCTGTGTGGCTTCCCTCCGGTCCAGGCTAGCAGGTCACTTGTTAACAGACACTGTTGAAAGAGTCAGCTGCTGGCCATTTGTCTTTCCATCATGGAGCCCTGGATAACTTAGTTTGGGGCAACGGTAAAGAGTCCATCAGTGGGGATGTTTGCCTCCCTCATCTCTAGTAAGGCCTTTTGCTATTGGAGGGGAGGATTCAGGCCTTACACACAGGAGGCTGATGCCGCCAGGCTCTTGTGCTTTCCCCACCTGCTCATTCTCCATTGTACTGTGCTGTTGGAGTGGGAGTGAGGGCGTTGTGTGTCAGGCCGGGTCTGCAGTCTCACTCCTGCTTACACTTCCCTGTTGTTCCAAATCAAAGTGCACGTCTCCTCTCTGAGAGGAACAGGCTTCACACAAAGGTCAGGCAGCGTGGCAGAGTGGGCTTCTTTGCTGGTGTGTTAACTACTCTCCCCGTTGCTGGGACACAATACCTGACACCCACAACGTAGAGAAAAAGAGGTTTGTTTCAGTGCGTGTTTCAGAAGTTTCAGTTCTTGCATGGTCAGTGGCCTGGCAGAAGGGCCTGGGCAGAGGAGGCTGCTCATGTCATGGTGAGCAGGTCACAGCATGAAGGGAGGAGCCAGGAAGGAAAGGTGCCCTGATCAGCCTCTTCTGAGTAGGTCCCCCACTTCACACCTAGCTGTCACAGCGGCATAATCCAGTCACCTCTCAAAGGCTCCACCTGCGAGAGCATGAGGCTATGGGGGGAACTGTAACAGCTGGCAAGGAAGGAGACACAGTCAGGCTTTTTTGTTTTCATTTGTTTGTTTGTTTTTATTTTGTCTGGGATGTGTGGGAGTGGGTAGGTTTGAGGCACAGAAGACAGGATTGCAGATTGCTTCTGTATTGTTTTCCTGGCAAGGGGAGAAGGCACAGGGACACTATGAGGATGGGCACAGGAGCGGGACTCACCGTGGACAGATGTCTTAGGTGTGAGCACAGGGCAACTGAGAAGTGTTGTGCTTAATATTCATTTGCAGAAATCTCTTTGGAGCCGCACTGTTAACCTAGAACCTGGCGGTCACTCTGATTGAGATTGCTTGGGTTTAGCGGTCTCCCCCACGAAGGATTGCCAGGCGGAGAGGACATCTCGAGAGGTAAATGTTGTCACTGTCAGGAGAGGATGGAGAAGCTGCACTTTTGTTTGAGTATCTAAAACAGAAAGTACTTTTTTTTCTCTTCATGAGTTTTCCTCCCCCCCTGGGGCGGAAGTTCAGAGGGTTCTAAGGCACAGCTACTGCATCTGGGACCAGTGGCCCCCGGGCAGTGTTGTTTCAAACAGATATGTGGCTCACCCGAGTTGACCATAGATGCCAGCAGCCTGAGGTAGAAGGGGACCCATGTTTTTATCTGTCAGTTGAGCAATGTGATAGAGAAATCACCAAGTGGGAATAAATTTGGAACACTAAGATACCAGTTTTAGTCACATTCCTCAATTTAATTGCTATTTAAGAAATGGCAAAAAGAAGTAGTTTTTGGTTTTTTTTTGGTATGGGGGATTGAACTCGGGTCCTTGCGCTTGCGCAGCAGGCAGTGAAACCACTGAGCTAAATTCCTGGCCAAGAAGTAGATTTTTAAAAGCCTTATATGAGCAGATAGATGGACGTGTTGGCTGGGAAGTGCTTTCTCTGGACACACTGCCCTTGTCTGCTTTCTGGGGGTGCTGGAGTTTGGACTCAGGACCTCTGTGAGGTGAGTGCTCCATCCCTGAGCTCTGTCCCTGGTCCTTCATCTGCTTTTTAGAAGACTTCAGATAGAAGACCCAAAAGCACAACAACAGAAGCAAAAATAGACAAATGGGATTATATCAAGCTATGAAGCTTCTAGTAGTAAAGGAAACAAAATGAAGAACCAACCTGCAGAACTGGAAGAAACACTTACTCATTTGAAAGGATTAATGTCTAGAATATATAAAGAACTCAAAAAACTTAATGAAATAATCCAGTTAAAAATGGACAGGGCCGAGCGTGTGCTCAGTGGTAAAGCATGTGGTTAACACGCATGAGGCCTTGGGTTCAGTCCCCAGTGCAAAAAACAAACAGAAAACAAAAGGCAAATCATCCAAGTAGACACTTCTTAAAAGAAGAAATACAAATAGCCCATAAATATATGAAAAATGCTCAGTATTTTGCTATCAGTAGCAATCAAGAAAATACAAATCAAAGGCTCAATGAGATACTATCTTATCCTAGTTAGAATGGCTATTATCAAAGGACATAAAGTCTAACAGGAAAAAAAAAGGGAGAGAAAAACGTTATTGTAACTCAGCATGGTCATTGTATCTATACCTTGGTTTAGTATAATTGTTTTATATTTTTTTTGGCCTGTTAGTCTGGCATTTAATTTGTATTTATGATAGTTAACTTGATAAAGCCATAAAATAAATAAATAAATCTGATGCTGGCAAAAAAAAAAAAGGGAAAACATTTTAAAAACGAGGGAAAGGCAAAAAAAAGAATTGATATGTGTTACGTACATGTATAGTGTCAATTCTTCTCAATGAATGTAATCATTATGTACTGTAAACATACTACTAAAATTGTTTTTAAAAAGACAGCTCGCCAGGCTCATGCATATAATCCCAGCTACTTGGGATTGGGAGGCTGAGGCAGGAGGATCTCAAATCTGAGGCTAGTCTGGGCAACTTAAACTTTGCCTCAAACTAAGAAATAAAAGGGGTTTGAAAAAAAAAAAAAAGAAAAAAAAAGAAATAAAAGGGGTTTGGTATGTAGTTCAGTGGTAGAGCACCTCTGGGTTCAATTCCCAGTGCAACGAAAAGAAAAACAAAGGGGGAGGTGTGATCACAAATGCTGGAGAGGATGTGGAGAAAAAAGAACTCTTCTCTTTTAGGTGCTGGGGATGGAATCAAGGGCTTCACTCCTGCTAGCCAGGAACATTACTGCAGAACCACATCCCTAGCCCTGACTAGAGAGCTCTGATTGTTGTTTGGTACTGCAATACTGTGGTACTTCCTTTGTTTTGAGGAAGGTTCCACCTAGAGTAGTGATGGTGACCTGTTAGCGCTTTCAGTGATCCAAACAGCTCCCTGCAGCACGAGTGCCACAGGTTCGCTAGAACTGACCTAGAGCCTTTGCACACAGCTACATTCCCTGGTCTCTCTTTAAAAATAAAGTTTGTTTTAAATTTTGAGACAAGGTCTTGGTGAATTGAAAAATTGCCTCAGCTTGTGATCTCCCTTCCTCAACCCTCCTGAGGTGCTGGAATTATAAGCATATGCCACTATGCTTGGCTTGAAAGAGAACTCTTAAAACACTGTTGCAAGAATGTAAATTACTGCAGCCATTATGGAGATCAGCATGAAGGTTCATCAGAAAAAATAAAAAGAGGGCCGGGGATTTAACTCAGTGGTTCTGCCGCCTGCCTTGCAAGCGCAAGGTCCTGAGTTAGATCCAAAAAGAAAAAATAAAAATAGACCTACTGTAAGATCTAGCTATCCTACTCCTGGATATATGACCAGAGGAAATGAAATCAGCATTTCAAAGAGGTACCTTTAGTCCCATGTTTATTGCAGCCTATTCACAGTAGCCAATGTATGGAATCAACCTGGGTTGGATAAATGGGTTTTTTAAAATGTGGTACACACACACACACACACACACACACACACACACACACACACACACACACACACACACACACAGTGGAATAGTATTCAGCCATAAAAAATGAAACCCCAACATTTTCTGTGAAATGGGTGGAACTGGAAGACTATATGTTAAGTGAAGTATCTAGACACTGTACATGTTCTCTCTTGGATTTGGAAGCCAAAGAAAAGTCATTCTGAACATAGAATGGTGATTATTAGAAGCTGGGGTAGGGAGAGGGATAGAAGGAGACTAGGAGGGTAGATAATGGGCACCGAAAGACAGATGGAAGGAGAAGTTCGAGTGTCCGCAGCATGGTATGATGACCATAGTTTGCAGTAACCCATTATGTATTTTATAAAGAACTAGGAGAGAGGTGCTCAAAGCCTCTAAATGTGGAGAGATGGTAAGGAGCCTGGCTGGTACACACGCCTGCAGTCCTGGCACTCGAGAGTAGGCCAAAGGGTCAAGAGTTCAAGGACAGCCTGGGCTACCTAGCAAGTTCAAGGCCTGGTCTCCGTAGTGATGCCCTGTCTCGAAACCAGCCCTCCTCCCCCAAAACAGGAATCTAAGGAAACAAAAATGCTAGTGGTCCAGCTACCCTGATTTGATTAATGTACACTGTCTACATGTGTTGAAATAGTATAACGTACCCCATAAATAAATGTAATAGCTATTTTAATAAAAATAAATGTACATAAAAGACTTCAGTAGCCTTATGGGTTTCTATAAAACTACTTTGCTTTCATGTAACTTAATTACATTTTGAATAGTTTCTTGATATCTTTTTTTTTTTTTTTCTTTTAAAGCCCTGATAAATCTGCTGAAGTTCCTTATGTCAAATGAAACTGTACTTTTGGCCAAGCACAACATTTTTACATTAGCCCTCATGGTGAGTAAAAAAATAAATATTTCTTTTCTGAAGCCATATGCTAAGGCAGAAATGATCTGGTTTGAAGCAGAGAGACTAGGCTATAAAGGGAACTAGGCTACATTTTCCTTGTGGGTCGCATCTTAGGCTGGTGCTCCTCACTCTCATCTGTGTGGGAAACCTGGGACCCTTTGTCCTTCATGAGATGACAGCTGGGTAGGCACAGGCGGATCTCTGTGTATGAACGGTGAGCTTGGCCCCAGCTGGAAGACCACTCTGCCTCAGTCCCGTAACAAAGCCTCTCGAGGTGTCCCGTCAGAGGAGTTGGTCCGTCATGCGGCTTTCAGTTTCTGAGGGACATTACGGATGCCTGTTACCTGGCTGGATGTTTGGGTCAGAAGGAAGGCATTGTGGCTTTTGACTATCTTCTCAGGATTACCCAATTCAGGAATATTCGCCATGGAGGGGAAAGGTCCTGATTGGTAGCATTTGCTGACTCCTGTTGTGGAGCTCTGTCTGGCACAGCCGGCTCTCAGCTGTCAGGATGGCATCAGAGCCTTGCAGTGAAGTATGCAGCACTGCACCGGGCTGTGGTGCTCCCACTGTGCAGGTGCAGGAGGCCCAAAGTGGTTGGGGCACAGGCAAGAGTGGAAGATGGCAAGTAACTAGGAAGTGATGTGTTTCGAACATTTAATCCCTTAATTGTAATGTAATTTCTTTAATAGTTTATATGAGTGGATTTTTAATAATGGCTGTGTTTTGTAACTGGCTTATGGAATCCTTGAAATTTTGATGATCCAGTTCTTGTAAGCCAGTTGGACTGTGGCATATCACTGGTGGCATTTTTTTGGTCTTAATAGCCTGACGCCTGTTTGTGAACTGTTGCTTCTTTTTAAGATTGTGAACCTGTTTAACATGTTTATCACATATGGTGACACGTTCCTGCCGACCCCTAGCAGCTATGATGAACTTTACTATGAGATCATTCGCATGCACCAGAGCTTTGACAACCTCTATTCCATGGGTAAGCCCTTTTCTTTTTACTCTTCTTTCTCCATCCCCTGTCTGTTTTTTGACAATAAGAGGAAAATACTACAAAAGTTTTCCTCTAGTTGGTTGGTGCTGCTCCTTGGCACAGAAATGTAGTAGTCTCTTCTCAAGCAAATAAAAAAGCATATGCAAGCCCTTTGCATGCAGGAACTCAGATTTCTCCTCAGTGGAAAGCTGCTTAGCAACCCTTTGTTGATGTGAGAGAGGGAGAAGAGAGAGGCCTTCGGATTCAGCGAATGCCAGTGAGACGGGCTGAATGAGTGGGTGGGAACTGATAGTAACAAATAGGAGAGCTTTGATCCCAAAGATTTGAGAACGTACAGAATTTTTTTTTTTTTTCTTACAATAAAAATCTTTTTTCAGGTTTGGTCAGTACAGGTAAGACATACTGGAGTCACAGAGCAGTATGCATTAACAGGATACAACAGTTCATAAAAACTGAATAACTATGCACACAAATTTCTTAAACATTCAATTACCTAAAGAGAAAATGCACAGATGTATGGTGGGAAAAACTGTATCTAACATGGAAGCTACTATAGGACTCCATCAACAAATCCGACTTTTAGTGATGAAAACTACTGTACTGGGTACTCGGAAGTCATAAACCTGCATCTACTCTAACAGTCTGAATGGTGCAGAAGTATATAACAGCATGATGGGCCGGGGAGTTAGCTCAGTGGTTCTGCTGCCTGCCTCACAAGCGCAAGGTCCCGAGTTCGATCCCTGGTACCAAAAAAATAAAACCAAAAGAACAATAACAGCATGAATAAGAATGCCCTTACACAGCACAGGTTCTAGAGACAGAGACATCATTGTCTTATACTTTAAGGAAAGATTTCCATTTACAACTTCACATTAACTCATATAAAAATAACTTGATCCTACACAAAATGTCCTTTTAGCAACATTCAAAGAAATTAACTGGTACAATTTCCATTGTGGCAGAGGTACTGAAGGCCCCCCCCCCTGCAACAAACAAACAAAACAAAAACACACCCACAAAAAGGGAAGTTGTGGCGAAAGTATGCATTAATTTTCTGGACAGTATCTTCTCCCAAATTAAATGACACTGTATAAAAATTTGCTAGAAAAATATTACAAAACTGAACCCTGTCCACTTACACTTGAGTCCAAGCCATTCTGAACATGGCGGGAGCCCACAGTTCGGTTACTTCCCCACTCACTGCTTTCACTTCTTGAGGGTCATGATTGGAGTCTGTCATTTCAGTGGTGTGACAGAGTTCTCACTGCCCATGGGAGAGTCTGCACTTTCATACCCCACTCTTGAGTTGGTTTACTTAACCACTAACTCCTCTGCAGTTCTCTCCCCTGAGCTGTTGGAGGCCTTATTACCATTCCCTGGAGAAGAAGGAAAGCCATCCTCAGTTGTGTTCCCCTCCCTGTAAAATCCAGACCCAGACGTCCTCTGACTGGAGGGGCCGCATTACATGGTCCATTTGCCAGATGACTACAGTCTTTACTTGTGGCCTCCACCTGTTCTACAGGTTCAGAAGATGTAGTCCTGCTGGTGCTTGAGGCCAAGGCTTGAGACCGCTGCTGTTGGTACAGAGCCAACTGCTGGCGAGTCTCCTTCAGTTGCTGCTGAAGAACTAAAATGGTGCTCTGTGTTCCCTCTACTGCTTCGTCAGGTTGAATGATGAAGTCATTCGGTTCTCCCTGACTGCTCTTAAGCTCCTCACTGTATTTCTTCTGTAGAGCCAACCCTGCTTCAAGCTGTGCAGTATGGCCCCGGGAAGGCTGCCTTCCCAGCTCCTGGTTCTCTGGGATAAGCACTTGACACTTCGCTGTGAATGTTTTGCCTATTTGGCTCTCAGGCATAAACTTCCAGGCACTCAGTTCTTTCTGGGCTTGTTCCAGTTTGTCTTCAGTCTGTTCCAGTTCACCTTTCATTTTTAGGAAAAACAAGTTGATTGCTGGGTCTACCATGGTTGATCTCAGTTGGGCAACACTTGGTTGCTGGACTTGCTTGCGGTACTGGATTTGAATAGTACACTCTTGCATCTCTTGTTCCTTGGTTGCTAGTTGCATTACAAGGATGTTTTCAGGCCGAGGATTTAGCTCAGTGGTTCCGGCGCCTGCCTTGCAAGTGCAAGGACCCGAGTTCAATCCCCGGTACCAAAAAAAAAAATTACAAGGATGTTTTCCCTGTATGCAGACTCTCGCCGTTGCTGCTTTAGCTTTTCTTCAGATTCCCATAAGCCAGTTACATCATTTGAGTTAAGATCTGTGTACTTGCCCTTCCAAAAGTTGAATATATGCTTCATATTGTTTCTGTCTCAGAATTAACTCATCTCACGCCATAACTTTGAAGTCTGTTTCACTCAGTTGAACCTTTTTGGGAAGAGGTTCTTTGTTGGTCATCTTGAGTCCTCTGTAGACCCCAGCTCCTGAACCTGCTGCACTCCTTCCATCGTACCCTGTCACTCCTCTTTATTTCTAAAGTACAGAATTTTTTTTTCCATTTAGTTTATTGGTACATTTTAGGTATACAATACAGTTACATTCATCATTGGGATCTTGTACCTGTACATGACGTATCTTTGTTCTTACTTTTTTTTTTGGTACTGGGGATCGAACTCGGGTCCTTGCGCTTGCGAAGCAGGTGGTGGAACCACTGAGCTAAATCCCCAGCCCCCTTTGTTCTTACTTTTTACCCATTCCCCTGCCCTCCCTTCACCACCTCCACCCTTCCCTATTTACAAAGACTTTGTTTCCATTTTTTTTTACTTTTCTCATATTTTTTATTTTCCCTTCTTTCCTTTCCCCTTCCCCTCCCACTTCCCCTATTCCTTTAAACATTTTCTTCCTGTTTCACAATATCAGTTGTACATTTTGATTCTTATTTACATCTAAAGTACAGATTTTTTTGTTTGTTTTTTTTGTGGTACTGGGATCGAACTCTAGACCTTGCGCTTGTGAGGCAGGCGCCGGAACCACTGAGCTAAATCCCCGGCCCTAATGTACAGAATTTTTAAGGGGTCTTAGTGTATCTGTGTATTTTTAGCATAATTTACAAGAAGAAATGGGCATTAGATAAAAACTTTTTGATAATTAGCTCACTGAAAATTTTACTCTGCAGCCATAGTGAGTATAGTTACTTCTGGAAGAGGTCATAGTCCCTGCAAGTTTGAGAAAAGCACCTAGTGAGTCCTACCTGGTGTTTGAAAGGTAAGAAAAGATTTTTTTTTCCCCTGCTACTGGAACCCAGGGCTTTTGCACTGAGCCACATCCCCAGCCCCTTTTTAATTTTTTTATTTTGAGACAGGGTCTCACTAAGTTGCTAAGTTGCCCAGGCTAGGCTTGAACTTGTGATCCTCCTGCCTCAGGCTCCCAGGGTGCTGGGATTGTAGGTGTGGGCCATCCCCAGCTCGTAAAGATTTTTGTAGATCACATAGAAAAAGAAAATCACTCAATAATACTTTAATTTTAAAAACTCATAGTAGACTTTATTGAGATATAACTGACATAATGAACTATCCATGCTTGGATTACACAACTTTTGATAAGGTTTGACATTTTTTATATATATATATATAGTAAAACTGTGAGAGTGATCACATAACAAACATGTCCATCACCTTCTGCAAGCGTCCTTGTGCCCCTTGAGTCCTCCTCTCAGGTCCTTCTCCCCATCTCCACCTGCCATGTCCCACCCCTGGGCAACCATTGCACTGCTTTCTGTCACTGTAGACTAGCTTGCTTCGCCTCTCATAATGAGAATGTTCATAAAAATCTCAGCCTCTGCTTGGGACTCCTGTATCACGAGAAGAAAAGGGGATTGGAACAGATACCAAGAAAAAGAATAGGATTGACTGAGGGTAAAATAAATTTTTCTAATAGACTTCAGTTTTGGGAGGACTGGAGGAAACCTTTTTTTTTTTATTTGTACCGGGGATCGAACTCAGTACCTTTCGCTTGTGAGGCAGATGATGGCACCACTGAGCTAAATCCCTGGAGGAGGAAAACTTTTTAAGAGAGCCATTTATAACTTTGCCACTGCAATGCCTTAGATGGTGAGACCAGGGCCTTGTATTAATGAGATGTTTTCAGGGCCGGGGATTTAGCTCACTGGTGCTACGCCGGCCTCACAAGCACAAGGTCCTAAGTTCAGTCCCCTATACTGCAAAAAAAAAAAAAAAAAAGATGTTTTCAATTCAAGTATCAGAAAACTGATTTTAGCTCTCCTAAGCAATAGGAAAATTAGTACAATTTAAAGAACTCCTAAGGAAAGACAATTCTAGAGTGACATCATCAGGTCTTTTCTTATTTCTTTGCTTTCTCATTCAGAATAACCGCTTTAGTATAGGTCAGTTCTCATAACGATAAATTTCAGTTGTCACATCAAACACGTTTCTCTTTTTATTTTATTTTATTTTTTGGTACTGGGGATCAAACTCGGGTTCTTGCGCTTGTGGGGCAGGCAACGGAACCACTGAGCTAAATCCCCAGCCCTCTTTTTATTTTTTTAAATAGTTATTATTATTATTTTGTTTGTTTGGTTTTTGGTACTGGGGATCGAACTCGGGTCCTTGCGCCTGCACAGCAGGCAGTGAAACCACTGAGCTAAATCCCCAGCCCTTGTTTGTTTTTTGAAACACAGTCTCCCTATGTGGCTAGGATGACTTTGAACTCACTATGAAGCCCAGGCTGGCTTTGAACTCACAGGGATCTTCCTGCCTCAGCCTCCTCAGTGCTGGATTACAGGCGTGCTCTACCACACCCAGCTCTCTCCTTTTTGCAGTACTGAGGATTGAGCCCAGAGCCTCCGCAATTAGCTGTATCCTCATCCATCCCTTTTTAATTTTATTTTGTGACAGGGGTTCAGGTTGTTGGGTTTGTTTGTTAGTTTTGCAGCACTGGGGATTGAACCCAGGGTCTTTGCATTGAGCTACATCCTCAGTCCTTTTAGTTTTGAGACAGGGTCTTACTGAGTCACTAAGTTGCCCAGGCTAGGTTTGAACTTGTCATCCTCTTGCCTCAGCTGCCCGTGGTCCTGGGATTGTAGGTGAGAACCACTATGCCTGGCTGAGAAAAAGTTTTTTTTTAGTTAAGTCTTTTGAGGCATAATTTACATATACAATAAAATTCATCTTTTTGAATGTACAGTTCTGAGTTTTGACAAATGCATATAGTAGCAAAATTATCACAAAAATCAAGATATGAGTTTTATCATCCCAAAAATTCTTGTGCTCTTCTGAAGTTACCTCCTCTGCGCACCCCTGATTCCAAACAACCACTGATCCATTTCTATGGGTTGATTTTTGTTTTCTTTTTTTTTGGTACTGGGGATCGAACTCGGGACTTTGTGCTTGAGAGGCAGACGGCAGAACCACTGGGCTATATCCCCGGCCCTCGCTTGATTTTTCTTCAGCTTATGGGTCAAAGACATTCTGATTTTTGTGATGTGAATGCTGGATTTTTGTGGTGTTCCTGTATATAAGATTGAGCATTGTTCTGGCATGTGGTAATATGTGGAATCAGTTTGATGTTTTCAAGGTTTGCTTTTAAGGGTTGAGGGCAGGTCAAGAGCAACATTTACTGTTGGCTGCCTGAGCCCCATGATAGTGCCAGCACCTATCTGTAGTGGCTACCTGTTACCCCAGGTCTTTCCACTCTCCGGTGGAACACACACTGTTTTCTTAGTGGAGCCCCTTGAGCTCCTCAGTTCCTCCTTTCTAGTGGTTCTTTGCCCTCAGTCTTGGGTAGTTTCCTTTTCTCTATGCATAGGTCAGTGCTCAGCAGGAGAAGGGGACCCCTCTGCAGATCCCTGGAGCTCTCAGCATTCTCTTTGCCAGCTCCAGGCCCTGTTCCTTCTAGATGCCTTGGACTCTCCCAAGTTGATCTCTCCATCTTTGCTTGGCCAGGTATTTTGTTCAGATTCTTCCTCCCTGCCCAGCAGCCTCGAGACTCCTTCAATCATGAGCTGGTTCTGGTCACCACAGATGCATCTTGATTTTTTCCCCTTCTTCTGGGGATTACAGCTCTAAACTGCTTGTTGTCTGGTAACCATTGTTTAATATTGTTTAAAGGAGGAGGGTAAAGGATGTTTTGTTAGCTCATTGTGGATGGAACAGGAAGATATCTCATCACGGGTGAGGCACACTTGTGATGTTCCTGTGACTTTACAGCAGTAAAGTCTGCGACATAGAAGGAAACTTCACAGACACTGCTGTCAACCATACCTGACATGTTTTGAGCTGTTTATCATGAAAAAAAAGAAAGATAATTACTAATACTAAAGAAAAAGCTTGGGTAAAAACTTTTAAGTCTTATAAACTCTCAATTCTAGTGCTATAATTGTTTTCATTGTTGTGTGTTGGCCCACGGGTATGCATAGTTCACACAGTTGTAATCATGGTATCCTTCTAGTTTGCTTTTTGTAACCTACATATTATACATTTTTTAAGTTTTCTTAAGTCTCTTTTAATAACTCCATAGTATGTTATTTTGTATACCATAATTTCATAAATAAATGATTGCTTTAGTTTAAGGCATATAGGGTATTTTGAAATAATTTTGTGTTTAAATTTGATAGTTTAGAAAAGAATCTAAAAAAATCAATGTTGTTTCCAGAGGAAATGCATTGATAAGGTCATCTGGGTCCCTGTTACTAAGGAACAAAGCTGACAGGATGTTTTGGAGAAATGATCCATGAACCGAGTGAAGCACCTCTCTGAAAATGTGAGGAGGGGAAATTCAGCCCAATTCCATAAATATTTAGGTCCCTATCATTAGAAAACTTACGGTCTAGTAGAGGATCCAGTAAAAAACCAACACATCTAAATAATTGATTTAAAAAAGACATGTTTGACCTGCTGAAATAATTTTCTTCCTTACATGAGTAAATTTGCATACACATTGAGTAAGCCTGATTTTGCACTGCAGAGCGCTAGCTCGGAACCGTCCCAAGTCCCCTGCACTGAGTCTTGTAAATTGGAAAAGCAGCATTCTAACGGTATATTTTTACTAAGGCTTTCATCTTGCCTTCTCTGTCATAAAACCACATGTATTTATAAAACTGAGGCATTGCTAGAACAAACACAGATCTGCCAAATGAGTTTGTTTCCCTGTCACAGCCACGGGCCCTCCTTCTGATAGAAATACTGCTGCTGCTGTTCTTGCTTGGGAATTGTGGGTCGGGAGCAGATGGTGATGATACTCAGAGGTGAAGTTCCTGTCCAAACATTTTCTTTTTTTTTTGATACCAGGGATCGAACTCGGGTCCTTGTGCTTGCAAGGCAGGCGGTGGAACCACTGAGCTAAATCCCCGGCCCCTGTCACACATTTCTTAATGTTGAGTCCTCTTTCCTTCCTTTGGGACTATCTAATTCATTCATTCATTCATTCATTCATTTGGGAGGCACACTATTAAAATTAACCTTTGTGGCACCAGGGATTTAGCTCAGTGGTTTCGCCACCTGCCTTGCAAGCGCAAGGACCCGAGTTCGATCTGCGGCACCAAAACAAAACAAAAATAACCTTTGTGATGGACACTAGTCACAAGAGTATCGTGTATATTAACTCATTTAATTCTCACAGTGATCATGTCCTGTAGGTATTGCTGTTATTTTCCAGTAGGTGGCAAGGGGCCTGCACCTGACCCCTGACAGCTGGCTTCAGAGATCATGCTCTTTACTCACTTCTGTGCATAAGCACAGGTTCTTGGAGTTCTTCCCTCCAGGTCAGATTACTGCTCTGTCACTTACAACTTGAGCAAATGACTTCAATCAACTACTTGTGTTCTGTTCTGTAAGACAAGTAGTTTTTTCATCTGTATGTTATGTTACATATAACCTGTGTCTAGTGCACCTGGCACTTACATAGTTAATTCTCCACATATTTACCGCTTAATAACTGGCCAGTCATTAAAAACATACACTTGAAGTGACCAGCAAGGGCTTGCTTTTTTAAGGAGCGCTCTAAATAACACATTTTTTTTTTTCGGTACTAGGGATTGGACCCAGGGCTTTCATATTCAGCTACATCCTCATCCCTTTTTATTTTTTATTTTGAAACAGAGTCTTACTAAGTCACTAAGTTGTCCTGGTGGACTTGAATTATTATGATTCTCCTGCCTCAGCCTCCCAGAGTGGTAGGATTATGGGCATACACTTCCAGGACCAGCTGCATAGTTACTTTAATGTGTGGCCCTAGAGATCATAGCTCGTGGAGGATGTATCCTTTTTTTTGTATTTTTATCATCTCTCCTCCTGTGGGTAATTGGAAAAGAGATAGAATTTGGTTGGACAGAGAAAAGTCTTTCTGTTGATTCATTTTGCAGGTCACACAATTAAGTCAGAGGAGCAACAACAAATTGGTCCTTGACTGAAGCATGATCATCCTCTAACTAGAAAGGTTATTTGTCCTGTTTGTCTGAGTTCACCCCTTTAGGTTCAGAAAGATATATGTCCAGCAGGAAGGGACACTGACCTAGCCAGTCAGTTCCACTCATTTAGGCCTGACCACTAGGGCAATAATGAATACAACACACAAATTTCCCTCACATTCCTACGCTATTGTAACGTTTATTTTTTTTATTTTTTATTTTTTGTGGTATTGGGGATTGAACTTGGGTCCTTGCACTTGCCAGACAGGCAGCGGAACCACTGAGCTAAGTCCCCAGCCCCCTATTGTAACTTTTAAATGAATGTTAAAAACTAAGTGTTGGAACCCTGTTAGCACAGTGTGGGGTAGAGATGTTGGAAGGACCCCAAGGCAAAGAAGTGGAGTATTTTGATAGAAAGTAAGGAAGTTAGAGAAAAATTTCCAGAGAAAATTGTTGAATGAGTTCTATAAATCCTTATATTTTTCTGTGAGCTGAGGATGTTTTTAAACAAAGATTGGCATGGCTGTTGTTTGGTTATTCTTATAGTAGTATCCTCGGATGTGTCTTTATTCTTCATATTTGTGTTTTCTATGAGGAGTTTGACAAATCTGTGTTCTTTCCTTCTGTACAGTACTGAGGCTTTCTACCAATGCAGGCCAGTGGAAGGAAGCAGCTAGCAAGGTGACCCATGCTTTGGTTAATATCAGGTAAGGAATGAAAATTTCTGTCTTTCAGAGTTCCATGGCTCATCCTTAGTTATACTGTACCTTTCAAGTAGAATGCACTGAACAGCACTATTATTTTAAGCCTTGATATCTGTAGGAGTGGAAGAAATTGTTGTACTGGATCAAGAAAAGCAGAAATACACAGGGCTTTCATTTTGCCGTATTAAAATAGCTCAAAGTGCTGGCTGTTCTGTGAATCTTCTATCAAGAGTTGGTTGCAAGCCCTTTTCAGGCATATTAGCTGCCAGCATATTTTCTATGTATAAGCTATGGGAAGGCTTTTCTCTGAGGATTTCTTCTGCTGTTTGCAACTTTCATGCATGACTCATGGGAATCTAGAACTTTGACATTTTACTTGTGGCCTTTTCTGATTGTGGTAAACAGAAGCAGGTGGAGACCCTGGGGCTAAGCCATCCTGGTTTACTTAGGAAAGATCAAGACACTTACAGATACCTCATGTGTCAGGCCTGGAGTTGGTCAGTCTTGAGGAAGCTCTTTTAGGATCCTCACAGCAGTGAGCCGTCAGGGAATGAAGAGGGGACTTGAGTACTATGAAACCTCTAACTATGACTTTTCTTTCATTCTTTACTTCCTTTTTGCCTGTGATTTTCCATTTTCTCAACAGTTATTAAATTGGTTTTGTAAACAATTGAAAAAATTAACATTGAGTAAGAGGCAAAGCCAACAGATGGAGAATTTGATTTAGCTCCAGATGTAAGCCTTGCCAGACATTCTCGTAACAGTGATGCACATTTACAACTTGGTATAGATTCTAATGTGTAACAGAGCTGGGATGTGATGTTTGTTTCTGTAGGTATTTTTTTTTCTTTCTCTTCCTTTTAAAGGCAAAGTGTCCTGTCAGTGATTGGCACATGTGGGAATAAGAGGCAAAGTGTGAAATGTGTGTGTTTAGGAGGGTTTGGGTGAGATGTGCTAACAAGATTGTGGTGAAGGTTGGCCTGCCTTACCTGTCCCCAGAGACATTTTGTAGCAAACACAATTTTATGAATCTCACAAATAAATGCATATCTGCACATAGCAAATAATCCAGACACTGTGGTAAGGCTTTGTGATAAATGAATTTCTGCAAGAATCGGGAATTACAAACTGTTTTCTCCAAAATATCCCTTTGTGACCCAAGGGCAGAATAACAAATGTAGGTGTTTGAATGAAGCACAGGTTCTAGGGCAGAGCATGAAGTGCATATGGGTATAATTTCTTTCGGGTTTATTTATTCATGCATTTATGTAGACATTGCTCGTGGCTCCTTTTCAGCTGGAGCCTGTTTCCTTGACCACATTCCTCAATGCTTGTTTTGTCTCCTCCTTTGTTGCTTTTCCTTTCAGTGGTTTCTGGTTTGGCTGCTGTTTTCACTCTTCCTAAGGGCCATCAAGCAGCTGATTTAAACTCTTGGCCTTTCTTTTTCTGAGTAGCCAAGAAAGAACTGGGCTGAGCCTTGGAAAGATGCCTGTAATGTGACCTCTTCCTTCTCTCTGTACCCTTCTGTCAAGCTTTTACTTTCATTTCTCAAACTTCTCTGATGAGCTTGCTGCTCATCATTTTCACCCATCATTTTCACTGTTGTTAATGAATTATAGTATATGCCTAAAGTAGAAGAGACCAGTTCTCTTTTCTCCATTACTGGAAAAATGGGTTTGCATCTTATCACACTAAGCCCCCGATCAGGGAATAATACAGAAGTTTACCTTTGTTCCTTTCTGACATCTTTTTTTTTTTTTTTTTGGTACTGGGGATTAAACTTGGGACCTTGGGCTTGCGAGGCAGGCGGTGGAAACACTGAGCTAAACCCCTGGCCCCTTCTGACATCTTTTAATTTACTCAGTGCCAGATTTTGTGCTGCTGTGTCACATTCTACTTCAATCTTCAAACTCTATAGAGTGTATTATACTTTTTAAAAAAAATTTCTTAAAATATGCTTTTTACCCCAAGGAAACTGAATCTTAAAGATACTGTGAATGCAGAAGGTCCTATAATTGTGTGGCAAAGCCCAGAGCTCTTTCTCCATACCATGGTTCCTCCTTCAGTGGGTTACAGCAAAGGCTGCTCCACAGGTTAGCAGAAAGATCAGCATGATGTATTGAGAGAAGCATGAAAATTTGAGTTAAAAAACTAGATTTTAAATTTTTGTCTCTACCATTTTATTACATGATCTTGAGCAAATTGCTTAGCTCTTTTATAAAACGGGACTGATGATGATAAATATTTCACAGAGTAGCTGTTATAATAATATTCAATGTAATGTATATCAAAGCTCTTATTAAACTATAAAGTTCTGGTCATTTCACTTAGCATAATGTCTTCAAGGTTCATTCATCTTGTAGCATATTTCAGAATTTCCCTCCTTGCTGGGGTGGTGGCATACACTTGTAATCCAAAAGCTTTGGGAAGCTGGAGCAGGAGGATTGCAAGTTCAAGTCTCACATGGGCAACTTAGTGAGACCCTATCTGAATGAATGAATAAATAAATAGAGGTTAGGGATGTAACTCAGTGTGAAGGCCCTGGGTTAAGGCCCCAGTACTGGCCAAACAAAAAAAGCTTCCTTCTTATTAAGCTGTATACTGTATAATTTTCCATTTTCTGCACATACCACATTTTGTTTATCTGTTCATCTGCCAAAAGACAGTTGCATTGCCTCTACCTTTAGGTTCTTGTAAATAATGCTTCTTTGAACATGGATGAACATAGGCCCCGTATGTAAATAATGCTTCTGTGAACATGGGCTCCTGAGATTTTTTTTTTTTGAGTCAGGGCCTCACCAAGTTGCTAAATTGCCCAGGCTGAGCTGAACTTGAATCCTCTTGCCTTGCCTACTTTTACTTTTTTTGGGCATATACCCAGAATTGCTGGGTCATATGGTGATTCTGGTTTTAATTTTTTGAAGAATTGCCACACTTTTTTAGGCTTAGCATTTTGAGCCTTCCTTAGCCTTTCTGAAGCTTGTCTTCATTTTTCCCTTCTGTAAAAGTTGTTACTTTGACCTGAAAGGGTGCTGTGCTTTTCCTTGTAGGTGGGTCTTGGTGGTGTGGGATGAGGCTGGTGCCAGAATGTCAGGGTTCTCTTAACAGAGGGTGGAGGAAGTCTGAGCAGTCTGCATGAGATGAGCCATGCGATGAGTGCAGCTTTATGACCAACCCTTTGCCTTTCTTTAAAAGCTTGAGTTGTGGGTCCATAACACGTACTAACTTTGGGTTCGAGAAAACAGGAGCCCTTGTCAGGAAATCCGACCTTGGCATCTCCCATAGATGCCGTGGGATATTTAACTATTGCCTACCAAGTTGATTATTAAGGAGAGAATATGTAAAAGCTTAGGAAAATTGTGATCATGTGCATAGCTTATTTCTGCAATTTATAGAGGTTTATGCTGTTCCCATACCTGGAAAGGATTTCTAAGTCAAAGGAACCAAATGCTTTTCACCACACTTTCTAGTATGTTCTCTGATAGCCACTGGAGGGGATTGAGGCGCAGGTGAAACTCCAGACATGCAGCATCTGGGAGGCCTCCCTGGCTGGTCTGCTGGTGGGCAGCAGCTCTGTCCAGGGTCAGCTCGGAAGCAGGGCATCTGATGGCCACCTGCAGGGCTCCCCAGCAGGGGAGGATGAGGAAGCTGCAGATCTCCCTGTCCTTTGGACCTCAGATTGTGATGGTGGAGATTAAAAGTATTTACATGTGCTACAGGCTTAAATTGTTCAAGTGTCAGTCTCTTTACTTTTCCTTTGCCTTTCATGGCTTAGTCATGCTAGTTCTTTAATTGTCAAAGTTATTTGTGTTTAAACAATTTCCCTCCCTCTCTTCCTGTGTGATCCTGCTATTTTTTTGGAACATCTGATGTCGTCAACAAGCAGCCCATGTTTTTTCCTCAGAGTTGTTTCATTGTTTTTCCTTAAGAAAAATAAGATATACTCTTTTACCTTTAAAGTTCCGGTTTTTGGTATAATTGTCGGTTCAGCTACCTCCACAGATCTAATCCACAAAGGAAGAAAATTTTGAGGGTTCATTGCAGGGCTGGAAGGGAAACATTGGGAAGTTTCACTAGATGATGGCTATGGTAAACATTTCCTGCTACCAGTTAGCAAGCTAGCCTAGGGAGGTCTGTGCTTTAGGAAAATATCTGATTATTAACCTAATTAGTCAAAAATAATGTTACACTAAAATCTGACTTTCATCTAACCAAATGACTTTTAAGGTAAGTAATTTGAGGCTCTTAATGAATCTTTCCAAGTTAACATCTTAATGCTTTTCACTTAATGAGCATTTTATTAGCACCAATTTCAAAATCCTGTTCTCTGACTGCTCATGGAAAGAAATAGTAGCCGAATCACTACAAATAGGTTTTTCTCTTGATCTGTAATTTTCTTAAAGTGGGTAAAGTTTTAGCTCTGTGATAATGTATTCTTCCCTTTATTTGGAATTTATTTAGGTGAAATTTAGTTTTTCAGTAAGAATGACTTTGTAGATATTGCTATGGTTAGTTATAAGCTTGTGGTTGGAAATGGTAATTTAGTGTGTTTCTGTTTAAGTCTCTTAATAGCTCATGTAGCGAGTTTGCCTCCAGTCTCTGTTTACTCCATGATCTTTTTGTTCAAATGCTGAGGTGGTCCTGGCACTCTTTCTGCTACTTTTAAGTTATTTCTCTCCACCCTAAAAAAAAAAAAAAAAAAAGGAAAGCTATAAGTGTACCCTGTATGGAGGCTAAAGAACAAGAATGGCTTTCAGCATAATTTTAGCTTCCTAGATAAGAGAGTTCATTGAGCATAACACCCTTTGGAACAGGCATGTATAGATAGGGCTTTGAATGTCGCAGAGCAGATGCCTTCAGATAGTAATCACTGTTGATTACAGCAGAATTAGAGTTGGGAAGGGAATGTGAAGTCTCAGCTAGCCAGTCTCCCAAAACTTCTTTGCCTGCCTACCTTCTTGGATTATATTTGCCTCAAAGCCACTGCTAATCTTATCAAAGTG